AGCTCACAAAGGAAATTTTAAAATATCTTGAGGTTAGTGAAGATGAAAATACCACACACCAGGATTTGTGGAATGAATCAAGAGGGTTCCTCTACTAAGTGATTTTTATATACACAGCAAATGCCAATGTTAAAAAGATAAGGCTGTCCAGGCTCAGTGGATAAGAGCACTGGCTGCTCCCGCAGAGGACTGAGGTTCAATTCCCAGCACACATGTGGTGGCTCATGGCCGTGTGTAACTCCAGTTCCAGGGGTAAGACATCCTCTTCTGGCCTCTGGGCTCCCGTCACACAAAGTGGTGCACAGACATACAGTCAGGCAAAATATATATAAACAGAAAATAATAATTTTTAAAAAAACTAAGAAGAAAAACTCACAAGGAAGTTCTCTAAATTTATATCACATGTAACTCGAAAAAGGAGAAGTGTCCAGAGTTAACAGAAGAAAGAAAAATAATCACTAAAGTCGAAATAAAAGATTTACAAATTTAAGAGTTGATTTCTGAAAAGGTCAACAAAGGTAACTTTAGATTGATTTACTGGAGGGAAAGAGAATAAGATGAAATGAGAGATAAAGGAACAGACATTACAGATGGTATCACAGAAGTAAATCGGATGACATGGTGATAGAGACCTGGGGTCCCAGCACTGGAGAAACAGGTGGTGAGGAGTACAAGGTCATGACTGACTACACAGCTGCAGAGCAAATTCAAGACCAGCGTTTAGAAGTTTAAAAAACCTAACACCATACTAGTTTATCTGTAGACTAGGAATGCTAGTCTGTAGATATTTTTTTTTTCAGATACCTTTGACTTTGGTTCTGGGTAATGTTGGCCACGTGAAAGGAGTTTGAAATTTTTTCTTTGTGTTTCTGGAAGAGGTTGAGAAGGGTTAGCATTAGTAATGTTGTAAGTATGTGGGAGTGTTCACCAGTGACATCATCTGGCTCTGGTCGCTAATCCTATTAACCCAGTAGCCGTGTTAGTTACGGCTGTTCAGACTTCCTTTCTTTTTCTCTTTTTTTAATTTTTGCAAAATACAAAAAAAAAAAATTGCCTGGTGTAATCCTTTAAAAATCATCTGCAAAAGTTCCAGGCCAAATACAACTGCATGTAAGGAGGCCACACACCATAGCCAAGAAGGGCAACTCTCTGGCCTATCAGGTGAGTCAGCACACGAAGATGATAAGACATACATATACATGACAAAATTAACATATAATAGAAGATGACATAACATGATCATACCAATGTATGCAGGAAAAGTATTTTACAAAGCCAATCTTCCAAGATCAAACGCTTTCAAGAGGTTAAGAACGGCAGGGAAGTACTCAGCCCATACAGTACACTCAGTGGTGAACACCAGATGGGAACAAGGTAGGTACTATCTCGAGTGACTCCTCTTCTAGCCTACTCTATACTGGGAGCCGTTCACTACTTTATTTAAGACGAGGTCACACTATACAGTCCAAGCTGGCCTTGAACTTGGATAGTCTTGCCTTGTTCTCCTGAGTGCTGGGATTACAGACCAGGGCCACCATGGAAACTGGAATATTGAAGAGTTGTCCACACTTCCATGTTCATGGCTGCATTGCTCAGAATAACCAGGACATTAAGTCTATCAGAAAACAAGGAGATGGAATATACGGGATGAACGCATACAGAGGGATGTCACTCAGCTTTCTGAAAGAATTGGGGACCAGTGAGATGCTCGGGGGTAAAGGCACTTGTGTCACTATCTGACAAACTGGTTCTTCCCTAGATCCCATAAGGGGGCAGGAGAGAATATATTGAGTAGACTCCAGAGAGGTGTCCTCTGTTTCCACACATGTACCGCGGTGTGTGTGTGTGTGTGTGCACAAATAAGTTTTCAGAAAGTTAAAACTACAATATACAGCAGCATAAATGAACGCTGTGGACTTGACCAAGAGAACACGTCTGTCACAGAGGTATTGGGGTTCCCATTTTAAGTCTGTGAAATTGACAGATTCACTGAGTCAGGTGCAGGGGCTTTGTCCTCTTTTAGGGATGGTGTCTAAAGTCACAGGATGTATCCCAGTATTCTGACAGCCATGAGTTTCCTTACAACATAACTGCCAACAAAACAAAGCCGTTCTGATCCCTAGTTGGACGTACAGGATCACAATGGTGCTCGCCTACAATCCCATCCGAAAGGCAGAGGCACGAGCTTAGCATGTATGATGAAAGTCTGTTCCCCCAAAACACAACCGAAAACCATGCTTACCTTCCTGCCAAGTTACCTCTGAATGCATAGCAGTCTTGTAAGACTTTAGTGCCTTGTTGTGTTTATGTCAAATGGCTTTGGCCCCTAATTTAGGAAGGAAAGCAGGGATGTCATCAGTACTCAAACCCGCATGCATACAATCACCGGAGTTCTGTCAACAGTGCAGGGGGCTGCCGCACACCTGGAGTGTGCTCGCGGGTAGGGGGACCTCCAGCAGGCTCCAGGGGTGGCGATGGGGGTGCCAGGGCATGTTGTGAGCGCACGAGCCAAGTGAGAGGCCAGTGGTTTCCCTCTGGATGACAGCAGACCGCTGTTGAATCTCAGCCCTCAAGTGGAGTTAACTTCCCCAGAGTGCTTATGTAACCTGTTGTGTAACATCTAAGACCTGCACATTTGCCACAAGATATGCTTGGAAAACAGCTCTTGAGGTACACAAGCTTTCCTCCTCCCTCTCTGGGGCCACCACAGGTATGCCCTGTGCAGAGGCTGCCTCTCATTTCCCCAGCAACTCTCTTGTGCTGGGATCCTAAGCCACACTCCGCATGCATCATTGTATTTAACCCTCACTATCCCCTAAAAGGCTGGTTTCTTTTCTTTTTCTTTTTTCTTTTTTTTTTTTTTTGAGTTTTTATTATCATCATCATTATAACTACATTACTCTTATTGTTTGTGTGTGTGGTGTGTGTGTCCCTGCAAACGCAGAGGCAGAGAAGTCAGGAGTCAGCCCCCATTTCTCTATGGATTCAGGATCAGACTGCAGTGTTAGGCTGGTGTGGCGAATGCTTTGATCCTTTGAGCCACTGCATCTGCCCAATGGTTGAAGGGAAAGATTCTTACAACTCCTTTTATAGCTGAGGAAACTGAGGCTCCAACTCGTTAAGTGTTCGCCTGAGGTCACACCTAGAACCCAAGAGCTCTGTGTGAGAAGGAGGACACTTGTGGAGCCTGTTTGTTGGGTTTCAGGGTTGTAGCCAATGGCCCTGATTTCATTGTTTGTTTTCCTCCCCAGCGCTCTGTTTACTTGGGCGCTGGAGAGCCAAACTGATGTCCTCAAGCCACAGCCAGTGCCTTGCCAGCTGAGCCAGCTGCCCAGTTGAGGGTCACAGCTTACTTAAGTTTTGTGTAACTGAAATTGATCTCTATATCAAATATTCATTCTGCCGGGGGTGAAACTCTCTCTCAGGCAGCATAGACTCTCTTCCTTGACTCCATAGCATCTAGGACAAGGCGGCCTTCCTTAGTTCGTTCAAACCCAGTCCTCTCTCTGTAGGCCACGTCTGTCTCACAGACATCTGCCTAAAGAAGGACAGACTGTCGCAAATGTGTGTTCTGAAGCACCACTCAAGGACCTGAGAACCATTCTTAGGAAAGAAGGCCTCAGTCTCCAGGACCCTGCAAGGTTAAAATCCTAACTTTGATAATTACCCAGCAAGCATAACTGCCCACCCTCTCCTTTCTTTATTTACTTATTTAACCTTTTCTCACCCCTCTGCTTCCATATCACCCGGTTCACGATTCCACTGCCTCCGTCCTCACCTCTCACTCCTATACCTTACAGCTCCCTCCTTTCTTTCTGGCTTCCACAGACATCCCATCAAGTTAAACACAGAAATCTGCAAACTTGAATCTATGATCTGCAATCGAGAGAGAACATACAACATCTGTCTCTCAGACCCGGGTTACCGCACTCAGTAGAATGTTGTCCAGTCCCGTCCAGTTCCTGCAGATTTTATCATTTTTCTTTACAACTGAATAAACCTCGATCGTGTTTCTGCACCATATTTCCATTATCCCGTCACCAGTGGATGAATATCTAGGCTGACCGCATTTCCTGGACATCGTGGACGTGGACGGCAGCAGTGAGCACGGGTGTGCAGAGCACGGGTGCGCAGGGCAAGGGTGCGCAGGGCACGGGTGCGCAAAGCACGGGTGTGCAGGTAACTCTGTCACAGGATATGCTGTCCTTTCGAGACATGCCCAGGGGTATGGCTGGCTCGTATCATAGTTTGGGCTTTAGCTTTTTGAGCAACCTCCACGCCGATTCTCATCCACTGATAGTGAATTTGGCCTCTTTGCTCCCCCATCCTTACCAGTATCTTTGTCCTTTGTTTTCTTTCTTGCTATTCTTACTACTTTGAGATGGAGTCTCAAAGTAGTTTTGGTTTGTATTTACCTGATGGCGAAGGATGCTAAACACTTTAAAAATATATTCACCATTTGTATTTCTTTTGAGAACTCTTTGTTAAGTCCAAACAAACTGAGGTATTTGTTTTCTTGCTATTCAGTTTTTTTGCTTTGTTTGTTTTCTTTTCTTTCTTTCTTTTTTTTTAGTTCTTTGTATATTTTAAGTATTTGTGTATCAGATGTATACTGGGAAAGGTTTTCTCCCATTCTGCAGGCTGTCTTTTCACTAGGTTGACTATTGCCTTTGCTTTGCAAAAGCTTTTTAATATCATAGTCTGGACCTCTTGATCCTCCTGCATCTGTTTCCTAAGTACTGAAATCACAGGCATGAACCACTGTGCCCAGTAGCCTGGTGTTCTTCCTATTAACCAGCCCTCTGTTGTGCTTGTGCTTCGTGCATGCTGGCAAAATGTTCTACCTCCGAACCACATCCCAGCCATTCTTTGGACTCCTTACTAATTTTTTTTTTTGACTCTGAACCCCATCCTCCCCACCCCCAGTTACTTGCTTTTCATTGGCTCTAGAAGTCACTCATTCTGGTTACATTTTACATTCTGCTTACATTTTATGAGTCACCCACTAACTTTGCTGCAGATGAGTTCCCTGAAACGTGGCTTGAGACGGTGGTGAAGCCCAAGTTACTTCTCAGGAACTTGAAGGGCTTTTATTGGAACTGCTGGCTCTCATTTGTATCTGTCCAGGTACCTGATGGCTGACCTTTTGATGTCAGAGACTGAAAAGTCTATCCTTAGGTTATAATAATACTGTAGTTTTCTCCTCTCTCCTCCCCTCGCCCTCCTCTTTCTTTCCCTTCCCTCTCTTTCCTTTTTGCTCCTGATTCCCCTGTCCGCTTCCCAGGGGCTAGAACTGTTGATGTGTACCGTCATGTTGGACTCTTCTCCAGTTGTGCGTCTCATGACAAACCGCAAAGCTCCTTTACAGCATCACAGAGCACGGACTGATACCCTCTGGACCCCCGTTCCTTAGGTGGACATGCTGCTTTGCCCTGTCACAGCCTAAGCTCTGCCATGAGTCTCCCTTCGAAATTTTCTACAGCCTCCCAACTGCGCCACCCTCTGGACACCAGCTGTCAACGCGGGAGCCTTTGAGGTGCAGTTCTGATCCCCACTATTTTCCTTGGAAGACTGGAGGAGAAGTGAAATACTAAAGGGGGCAGAGAGTGGACCTAGAACTGGGGAGAAGAGAAATGTGCTAGGTCCTCCCTGAAGTCAGCTCAGCTGTGGGGTAAAGTGAGAAAGCCTCCGGTTCCTCCAGCTCTCCATGCTGCCCCAGCATTTCCGCCACTCCACGCCTCCCCCAAATGCCCTACTCTCCCCTTTCCCAGGTCTTCTGCCTAAAGTCCTGGTCTTCTGAGCTATCAGCACTCCGAATCTGCCTTCCTTCCCGCTCCGCCACCTCTAAATGACGTGCCTTGGCTTCCTTCCTATTGAACTTTGTCCTCGTGGTGGTGGAGTCCTTTTTCCAACTGCCAATAGCGAAGATAAAAAGTGAGCACAGAGGTGAGCCTACACCGATTGCACAAGCTGCAAGCCAACCGTCGTCGTCGTAACATTCCTCACGGGAATGCAACTTGATAGAAGAAAGAATTTGGTTGGCTTTTCAGAGTCTTCACCCTCAGTTGAACTTGGACTAGATATCCTCAATGTAATCAACCAAAGGATAGGATTGGAGCTAGCAACAAAAAGATTCCAGCTAGCACGTTCCTTCTACATTTGAAGCATAGAGAAAAACACTAGATATGACTTCTCTATACTTAAAACTTACTCTGTTTTCTTCTTCACAGAATTCACCAATGTGTTTCCTTCTGCCTCTCCTTTTCCTTCTGGGATGCTCAGTTTCTTTTTCCCAATTATGTTTTGCCATCAAATTGACTCTTTCTTTCTTAGAGTTGTGTGGTTACAGAAACCACAGAAACCCACATAAATCCAATGCGATGGCCCACAAGGCATCCATAACATCGGTGGATTGCAGAGAAAGTAGGTTGTGCAATAAAGAATTTTAAACCTTTGTCCTCTGCTCCTGGGAGGCCTTCTCTAAACTCTTGGGATGACCTTCTGATAAGAGTGCTGTCTGCTGAAAGGACTTGGGTAATGGCAGATCGTCTAACTAACTGTGGGAGATTTGACCCCTGAAGTGATCACAGACGAAGCTCAGTATCCGAGGAGCCAGCCATTCTTACAACCTGCGGTTACAGCATTCTTATGTAACTTGAGGCACTAATACTCCCAGGCACCCCTTATCTTTTGATACATTGTACTGTCACACATTATTTTAAAAACCATTTTATCATCCAAGACTTAACTGTTAAAGGATGTTGCTGTGGGAACTGCTTCAGCCAATAGCCTTTAAGATACCAGCCCACTTTGGGCATGGTTTCATGTACTATCTCAGGCTCCTTCCAAGAAAGACTTCAAAATCCACAGTCTTGAGAATCTGCTGTCCCAGTTCCTTCAGCCTGCTATGCCTAACTCCTGCCTTTTTATTATAAGAAAAAGATGGAAATGTAATCTGCTGGCCTGGCCTGTCACCTGGGTATCCTGTCCCTTTATGAGACAAGCCCCACCCACTCCCAACCTCCCACTTCCACCAAGGCAAGTGGATCTCCTACTTTCTCTTTCCCTCTCTTCCTCTCTGCCTCTCTCTCTCTCTCTCTCTCTCTCTCTCTCTCTCTCTCTCTCCTCTTCTTCTGGAGAGGCAGCTTCTGCCTCTCTCTTCTCCCTCCATCTCCCCTTCCTCCTCTTCTCTTTCCTCTACATAACCCATTAAATAAATTCTATACTCCAGCTCTGTCTGCATGGTGAATCTATCTGTCTGTCTCCTGCCGAGGCCTCAGGCCACCTGCCGGGGGACCCACTGAGGCCACCAGGGACCAGTCCCTCATCACCTCTTTATAAATGATAACACTACAGATCGCTGCTACCCTTTCTGTGAGTTTACCCCTAGATAAATAAACCTTTGTTATACTCCATTCCTGGCTATTATGGTATGCCTACAAATGGCACCAGCATGGGGCAGCTACATCCACATAAAAACTGAGAGAGCTTGGGAAGGAATTCTAAAAGAACAGAGTTAAGCGCAGCTTCTTGGTAGCCAATTTTTTTTTTTCAGATAGGCTCTGTTTGCTGGCAGTGAGCAGAGGTGCGGCTTCTTGACTCAGCATTAGCAGGAAAAAACTGTGCGGCTTCTTTGAAAAATGGTGGCTTCCTGGTTCGTGCTGGTAGAACGAACTCTGGCTCTTTCAGGAGCTCCTACACTTAAATGGGGTTTGTAAGCAGAGTGCTACAAGTTGCTTAATGGTAGCAGTATAGACCCACTGTGTTCCTGGAGCTGCAGTGGTTAACATGGCTCTCAGAGCTGGCGATAAACGTACCTCTGCCACATTGAAAGGCTGAGAGAGACAGCCAGCATCCAGGGCTGCCGCAACCACACTGCTTACCATTTTAAAAAATGCTTCTGGTCAGAAAGGATTTCAGATACACAATAGGACAGATTCAGACATAAAAGATCTCTAAATGAAACACAGTCTGTTTAAAAAATGTACGTAGACTTGAGAGAGAGAGGGAAAAAAGTATAGACAGTTCAAAGTAATATGAAAGAGTACAGAGAGACATAGATTAAGGGAGAAAGATAATAAATATTAAAAAGTAATAGAGAGAAAAAGCCACGTAAAGATGGAAAATACGTAGAGTCTGGATTATGTATACTATTGTGTTTCCTTTGAATTTTTCTAACTGTGAGTGAGCTAACTTGTTGAGGACCGGCCTTGACAATATCACCTCTTACCCAGATAGGGACATGGGGATTTTAGAAATATAAGTAAAGAATATGAAGACACATAATGATAATAAGGCAGAAACTATAGAATAATACTGGGATGGTATTTTATATCAATATAAATGGGGGGGATGGGGAGAGAAGGTAGCAGAAGACTTTATTAACATGATGCAAAGGATAAGTCACACAGTCAGCTGCTTTATCACTCTGAGACATCAAATCATTAGCATTCTGATGTCTAGGTAGCAAAGCTGTTCTAGACCACATATCCTTAAGCTCCCCCTTTCCCAGTGGCCTCGTAGTTACTAAAGAAGGAGCAGAAGTACATTTGCATATCCTGACCACCTGTCAGGATGGCATGGTCATACTAGAATGAGCTATTTTAGTCTTAAAGAACCAACCAATCACATTCTGAGTTGGGGCATGCAACTACGCTTGTTGATCATTTGAGAAACCTCCAAACTCTCTGACTGCCAGACAAGGTGGAACTAGGCTCACATTTTTGGGCCTCCACACTAACTACAAAGAGACATTTCATTGTATGGGCTGCTAAACCAACATACTTTTTTTTTTTAAGTATCTTGACTTCAAATTTTAAGTCTAAGGATATGTTGCTTTGGAAAAGAGGTTCTGCTTCTGTTTCCACAGAAGATGAGGACATGTGAATTCCTTCCAGACTAATGTGGTCTGATGGAATAAGACCCCCCCCAAAGGTCTCTGTGAACCCTAAAAAATACTTCATTCAACAAAAGCAGGAAGCAGTTCAGAGAGAACTACACCCAATTCCCAAAATGATTGTTTATAAATGCTTATTTTTACTTTAAAAGGGTTGATTATAAGTGATTAATGGTCATAGAAAATTTCTGAAAAAAATGAGGATATAATATAGAGATGGATACTTTGCATTGGTATGGATCTTGGTCTACTGATACAAATTTAAAGTTAATTTTGCTGTATGTATTTCTGCTCTTGTTCAAGATATTTTATTTTATTTACTTATTTTTAAATAGTTATTTATTTATTTTGTATACAACATTCTGTCTGCGTGTATGACTGCAGGCCAGAAGAGGGCACCAGACCTCATTACAGATGGTTGTGAGCCACCGTGTGGTTGCCAGGAATTGAACTTTGGAATAGGACCTTTGGAAGAGCAGGCAATGCTCTTAACCACTGAGCCATCTCTCCAGCCCCCTGTTTAAGGTATTTTAGAGAACTCATTTAAAAATGTAATATATAGGGCTGGAGAGATGGCTCAGTGGTTAAGATCACTGGCTGCTCTTCAAGAGGACCCAGATTCAATCCCCAGCACCCACATGGTCACTTACAGCTGTCTGTAACTCCAGTTCCTGTGGATCTGACTCTCTTATACATACATGCAGGTAAAACACCAATGCACATAAAGTACAAATAAAAATGTAATGTAAACATGACAGTATGCTGGCAGACATGGTACTGGAGAGGGGCTGAGAGTTTTACATCTTGATCTGCAGGCAACTGAAGGAACCTACCTCACTGGGTATGGCTTGAGCATATGAGACCTCGAAGCCCACCTCACAGTGGCACACTTCCTTCAACAAGGCCACACCTCCTAATATGGCCACTCTCTTTGGGCCAAGCACTCAAAGTCTATGGGGGTCATTCCTTTTCAAACCAGCACACCAGGGGAATTGCTAAACCCACAGAACAGGTACAGGAGCTTTGGTGGGCACTTCCCCACAGCAGCTCCCGACCCAGGTAGAAAGAACAAGAGGGCAAAAGCCTCTCCAGAGGCCGCCGAAGTGAGGGAGCCTTCCTGGAAGGGAACTTCCAGAGTTACACTGCATGAATTCCTCCATGAATGAGTGGAGGAAAGAAGAAGAAAATGCCTGTGAGGATCGCAGTCTCCCTCCAAACTCACTTTTTATTTTGGTAAAATTTGCTCACACTGACAATATTAACAAATAAATCAAAGACAGATCTGTGATCTTCTAGTCCTTGTCCATGGTCAGAACTTTTCCTGTGTGACCCTAATTCTGGTTTCTCTACAGGGTAAAGTGTCAAGCAAGTCAGTGAAAGTGGCATCAGGTCAAATTCTGTGAAGAATTTACAAAGCTAGGTAGGATGGGCAGATACAACCAGGGCTAGCGAGGCCTCTAGAGACCATAATGATTGGGGAGGAAGGAAGAAATAATCAGGGCCACAGCCAGAACCACAGCCAGGGCCTCAGCCAGGGCCCCTGGAAAGAAACCCCCACCTCTCCTCTGATTTCTTCTCACTGCCTCTCATGAGAAGCCAAAGGGAAGGGACTCTCTCACAGAGGTTGCTTATTTTATGGCTTTGCAAGGCTGGGGTCAGCCCAGGATGGCAGGTGGGCCCAGACTGAGTGGTGAGAACAGTCTGAACCCTGAGCCCATGACCCTTCCTCCATCTCCTCCTCCTGCAATCAGGAGGGCACAGCCGCACGTGCCATTCAGGTCTTAGATGCCTCTGTCCTTTTTCTCGATGAAATCAATGCATGAGTTCATCTCCATGTTTTACATCCTATCTATTTGAATGCTTGGATGATGCATGGCCGTGCAGGTGAGTTGGCTGTCAGTAATTTTCTACTCTAAACTTGTAGTTTGGGAACATTTTAGCAGAGCTTGAGGGGAAATAGCTGAACTAGTAGGCATTGGTAGGGAAAGTGTTTTCTGTTCGTTTGTAGCTGGACTGGAGATGGCCCAAGGCACCTTGGAAACTGAACCGTCAGATTTCAGTTCATATACTTAACCAGTGCAACTTCACAAGTTAGTGTCCTTAAAGGGATAGCGTGTGGGTTGGGGTTCAAGGGAGAGAAATTGAGTGACAACAGGTCTCTCTCTCTCTCTCTCTCTCTCTCTCTCTCTCTCTCTCACACACACACACACACACACACACATACACACTGAACAGGGATGACCCCACACCCTGAGCACATGGCCGAGATGAGTGGAGTTGACCTCGAGCAAAGGGCACGCGGGAAAACTCGGTCGCTCCCGGCTCAGTAGCTCCTTTGACTGCCTGACGGATGGTGCTGCTGCTTTTCTACGGGATGCCTGGGACTTGAGAACAGCCGCGTGGGCAGGGGACAGAGTTAACTAACCAAGTACCTCCTGTTTGTTTGAAAGGTTTCAGTTGGGGTTCGAGAGGGACACTGAGATGGCTTACTGGGGTACAGAGTTTCTTAGAAGAGGTATTAATGCCATGGACAGACAGAAAAACAGTGTTGGGGAGGAGC